GTTAAAACGTGATACGTATCACGTTTTAACAAGATACTATCACGTTTTAACAAGATACGTATCACGTTATAACGTGATAGCGCGCGGATTTTTTTTCCCCTGCGTGATAGCAATACGCTTCCGTACTGAGCTGTTGGCTTTAAGTAACTGAGCAATTTAGTTGGATAGCACAGTACTAATGTCTGAAAATAAGCTCTTTTAAAGTCAGCATCAACCACAAACTAAATCTGCCTTTACTTTTAATATATCTGTATTTATTTCAGATTTAGTCAGTCATACACTTAGTTCTTATCAGTGTTTAAAAGAGGACATGTTTAGTCAAAGTTAAACATGAAATGTCACAGTTCATTATAAGTGGCCCTTCGAAGGCTCATCATAACGCTCATGTGGCCCTCGGTGAAAATGAGTTTGACACCCCTGCTTTAGTTTGACTGACATTCAAGTAAATATAAAATGAAAGAAGTTAATAAAAAAAAGAGATCGAGAAACTGAAGCAGAATCATGTCTGCTTACTGCACTTTAAGCTGAGCTATGATCACAGTAAGTGATTTGCTCATGAGGCAATAGATGTCAGAGACTTTCCAGATCTCAAAAGTACAACACACTCAGGAGGATGTGGTGGCTTTGAGTGACCATTAGGCGCTTTTACAAGCTTTATGGTAAGAGTTGCTCAGCGGAAGAGCCGGAGGTAATCACTTATGAAATGCAGTTAAGATGCATGAGAGCATGGCGAGATTGTTATCGCGAAGCTAAGAGCACCAGATCTTTTCTGCAGTGACTCAAGCTCTTTGTGTGAGATATGACAGTGAAAGCTGATAAAGGCAGTTGACTTGGACAGCTTATTGACTTTGTCGGTTCAACAACAAAACAGAATTTGCCTGTTTTCGYTTTGCCGGGAAACAATTTCATAAAACCAATAAAAAGTTGATGCTATGATCTTCTTGGCTTGATTTGACAAAGTTTTTATTTCTAAAATTCTTTTGTGTCTTAATCTGTGGGATGTTGAAACAAATAAAATTAAATGATAAAACTCAATCAGGTTGTTTGAAACTGTAAAATCTATTTTTAGATGTATACTTTAAAACAGGGGTGTCAAACTCATTTTCACCGAGGGCCACATGAGCGTATGGTGGCCCTCGAAGGGCCACTTGTAATGAACTTTGATGTTTCATGTATAACTTTGACTAAACAGAGTTTTAACGTCCTCTTTTACTGATAAGATCTAAGTGTACGACTGACTAAATCTGAAATAAATACAGAAATATTAAAAGTAAAACAAATAAAGTTTTACTCACTGATGAGTTTCTAGTGAGTAGCTGCATTATGGCAGATTTAGTTTATGTTTGATGGTGACTTTAAAGCAGCTTATTTTCATTTATTAGTACTGTGCTATCCAACTAAATTGCTCAGTTACTTCAAGCCAACAGCTCAGGGACAGGAATTTTTTTAAATTTATTTTTGTTTCATTTATTTTTATTAAATTAATTTTGATGCATTTAACCATAAATTTAAAGTTTACTATTGATATAAGAAACAAATTTTATGTTAAGTAAAAAATATTTATTTATTTATTTATTTATTTATTTTTTGGGAGGGGATCCCTCCTGGCGGGCCACACCGGAGTCACCCGCGGGCCACATTTGGCCCGTGGGCCTTGTGTTTGACACATGTGCTTTAAAGGGTTAAAATTAAWACAAAGGCATGATACTGAAAATATACAGCTCATGAAATCTGATCAGTGTGAGGAAATTAGCTTAAACGCTGCTTTTTGTAACCCGACTACTAAAGTATTGTTACTGACAATTGACCCAACAAAACATGGAAGTAGGAGCTTTCAAACAACAAAATCCTAGATTTCGTTACAGACTTTCAGATAAAAACCGTGAAACTCAAGATGGGAAAGACTGCAAAATGGGAGAAAGTGGAACACAGTTTGTCAGTTTACTGTAGATTACACGTTTGCTTATTTTATTTATTTATTTTTTAGAATGATTAAGTTGAAAGCTTAAAGAGCAACAAAAAAAGACATGTGATAGAGTGAGAGAGAGCACTCAGAATAAAACTTGTCAGGAAGCAGACATATGTAAGTGTAAAAAAAAAAAAAAACCCACAACCTTAAGATAAGACTTCACAGCCAGCTGATAACGATGTGTGTTCAGTACCGTTTATTTCTAATGAATATGCAATAGTTGAACTGTCAAATTTATTGAAATGAATTAAGTTTATCTTCAAAAAAGAAAAAGAGAGTCTTTTTGAATTTAGCTCCATTTTTTATGTAAAGTCAGTAAAGTTTTACTCGTTTTGTTCAGCATGGACAAGCAAGCAATTCAAGTGTTGCTTGTAAAGACTTTTATATTTTAAAGTTTTATTCATCATTTAGATGTAATTTAATGGGTTTGATAAAAACAAGAATTCCCTTATAATTTTTCTTGATTTTTTAAAATATTTTTTTTGCATTTACATTTTCATTATATTGAACTATAACCGTATCTTATGTGCTCTGTATTTTCCAAAGTTCAAAATATGTGTTAAAAATGGGTCAGTGACTTCAGTCATATTCTACTGACTCTAAGCCAGAAGTGCCCAAAGTGGGACACYCCATTCGATTTGGCTTACCAGCAGTTACTAGGTTGTTATCTCCTGTCATCCTATGCAGAAACATTGTTTCCACTTAAAGTCATTACAAGGGGCTGTACTGCAGATAGTTTTCACTCACGGTGCTTACTTTATCTTTGAATTATATAACATTAAACATGAAATACAATTAAAAAAAGAGACGTTTAGATCAAATATAAGCACGTGTGGATTTGTGCACCTTAAAAGACCACAAATAAATTTCAAACTTTCTCCAAATGCATGGGCTATAAAAACAATAATCAAAATGTGGGCAGCTGCTAGCTTTATCTTAAAAAAATAAAATAAAAGGACACTACTTAAAAAAACATATAATATTGCATTTGGCCCTAAGCCCTCAAATAGATTTTCATCTTGGCCCTTTCAAAGAAAAGGTTTGGGCACCCCTGCTCTAAGCCGACTTAATTCTCTCATAAATGCTGAACCTTTGAACTACAGCTGCTTGTCTTCAAAAGTTGTTGGCAGAACAAATATAATAACCCACAGGAGCCAAACGCTGTTGTCCGCGCTGATTGGTGGTGGATGCTTACCTCCCCCTCCTCCTGTGGAGGTGGCAGAGCRGGGCCGGCTGCTCTGCTGTGGCTCAGACTGTGAAAACTGAGGAGCCAGAACGAGTCCCCGGTCGCGGTGAGCGCTGGTCGGTCTGTCTGCGGCGTCAGGTGTGCGAGGAATCTTGGTCCTGCCTGCAAATGTGGAGATATAATCCACACTGCTGATGAGGAAGAAAGAAAGAAAAAGAATTTAAAAAAGAAAACACAAAGCAAATAAAATGCTTAGTTTTTAGTTCAACGACATGGTATGGTTTAGTTTTTTTTTTTCAAACTTTCTTTTTTTTAAACAAATAACTGCATCCAGGTTAACTGAAACATTACACCTGATGTTCGTAGGTATACTCAAAARAAACAAACAAAAAAAACTTTACTAGTGTTTTTCATTGTGCACATCTGTTCTCTTTTGCCTCTTTTTTGGCTCTGAATAGAGGTATTTTTATTTATTAAGCTATTCACTTGTTATAAAAAAGGTARAGCCATGGTCAGATCTAGTCTCACGTGGGGCTTAAAGCAAAGAAATTATGGCTGTCCTGACTGCCTTGTCCTTCACATGTATAGTATTCATTTAAGTCAACGTACTTGTCTCTGGTTACAGAATACTGATAATGTATTTATGTATACTTAAATATTTAGCTATAGGTTTGCACTTTATGGTGTGCCTGAAACCATATCAACCTGTGGAGTGACTTTTTGGAACAGTATGGCTCAAGAAATGAAGCAATGCACAAGCATAAATTATACATAAATTAAAATAAAAAAGTACAAAAATAAGGAAGATTAAGAATATACATATATTGTGTGTAGATGATCTAGATAAATATTTTATAAATTAATTATTTTTATGCAAGGATGCAGTATATGTTTCTGTTATTCGTGTTTTATTTCAATCAAAATTATCTATCTAACCGCAGAAATAGCAAACTGTAAAAATGTCTGAGAAAGAGCATTTCAATGAAAACAGCTCTTCTGCATCTAATTACAAGGCACCGAGCTGATCTCCTCTAATGTCCCCATCAGACAGAAGCCAAATGCCCTACATCCTGTGCAGCAATCCAACACCATATCTGAAAGGATGGATTTCATTTGTGTTTCTGTTCAGGATGCTCACACTGGCTCCAAATTTCATGATTTTATCTGCTGTAACTGTGTGCGACAAACTGTGATTGCATCAGTGTGTCCTTATTAGGAGGCACAATATTTGCACGCTTGTATAGCATCATAACATTGGCCTATTTGTTGCATGAATTGGCCTCAGTTTCTTATTCTTACCTATAAATTACCATAAATAGAAGAGAATAAAAAACATAAAAGCTCACCAGAAACCTTTTCACTAAGCATTAAAGGAGTATTCCACCAAAGAGATAAAAATCCACCTGTTTATCTGAAACTTGCCAAATTGCTGTGTTGCTAAGATTCTATTCTTCCCAACATAAATGCTGTTTTCATCTCCAAATAAAAGACTTGTCATTCAGTCAAACAAAATTGGGCTGTTCAGCTTAGACTCAGCCAGGTTGTATTGTGWAGGTGTTGTACGTTCTTGGTGGGTGGATGGAGGGTTTCCTAGGACTCATTACTCTTGGCGGGATTCTGGAGTCAAGTTCCTTAGGGGTTTAGAAGAGAGAAGGACCACGGCAGGTTGGACTGAATGGGTTTCTTTGTGGCTGCTGCTCGTTTAAACGCATGTCACAGTCTCACACGCCAGCTTGGCAGTGCTGACTCACCCATCAGCGTCGACATTTCTGCCAACTCTCCCCTCAGAGACACATTCAAACACATATGTCTAGGCTGGATAGGAACGTCTGGAGAGTTACAAAAAAGTGTGTCCTTTTTTGACAACTTTAACAAAAAATAAAAAATAAACAAAATTATATGAAATTATGAAACATGAAGGTTGAGAACTTGAGTAGTAGCTTGCATTCTTAATTTATTAAAGGCACAGCGTTTGTTTTCAGCGACATCTAGTGGTTGAGTGGTTGAATCATCCTCCCTGGTCCTCCCCCCACCCCCACCC